ATTGAAGCCCAACTTCACTATAAATTTCCAGTTCTGTCTGGCATTTCGGGAAATTCTGTCTGGAAGCCTGTAAGCCAGCATCAGAGGTCTGGGTTTATGTGTCTGCTAATGCAGAATGATCATAGTGCTGAGCATGAAGGCAGTGATACAATCATGCATCAGGAGAAAGAGTTGGGGGAAGAATACTTGCCATTTATCAATGTGCTGTCTCATTTAAAGCAGCTAGAACTGCTGGCTTGTCTTCTAACTTAAAATGTTGGATAGGGACAGTGATTTATTGGGTAATGAGCAAAACCACCTGTAGTTTTATGTGAATCACCATGCTAATAGCATCATTTTGGAGATGGAATTTGCCGTGGTTTGAGATCTGAATCTGAGCCTTGTGTAGCATCATTGGGTTGCTCTCCACTTCTGTTAAGATAATTTCAGACTAGCTGGCACAATTCTAAACATGAATAAGAAGGTCTAGAGGATATATTTGTGCTTCAGAAAAGTGGAGATAGATGGTATTGCTGCTACCTACTTTTCATCATGTTTTTTTTTATTACTTCTCAGAACTCAGCTTAGCAGCAGCTAATCTATCTTGAGTTCGTAAAATCTTTAATGATATGTACTGCTTTGAAACTTTGCAGTGAGGTCAACAGTGAAAATTACTTCTGTCTGAGATGGAAAGGATGATAAGTACTTACAAAGATATTACAGGATATATTTTCCTTTTAAGACATTGATGTGTTGTGAAGGATCTTCTTGAGACTGCACTCTCATGCAAGAGGTGTAGTAATCTACAAATAGGAGCTATAAAGTAATCAGAAAACATGATTTAGAGTGATTGGGGGTATTGGGAAGCATTTAAAAGATTCTAATCCTCGTAATACTCTAATCCTTCTAATCCTGCAGTTTCTTAAACAGTGTTTGATACTAGTCATGTCTCCTTTGCTGTCCGTGCTCCTTACATTTAAATGTTAAAAAAGAAATTCATACAAACTGAACTTTCTTTTAAGTGTCTCTTAAAAATGGATACAAGTTTGGAAGCTTGATCTTCACAGAGAGAGGATTCTTTATTCATATTTTCTTATACGAATTTGAATCTTGTATGTGCTCCAGAACAAGCAAAACATACACACACCCCTTAAAACCAAATACGAAAAAATATCCATGCAGCTTGGGGGACTCTATATTTTCATTTCCACTTTCAACAGTCCACAGTTTTAGGGACAGAGCTTTATTTCTAGTATCATTTTTAAAAGAGAATAAAGAAAGTGAGACACAGATGGACTGATGGTATGAGTTTTAATTAAACTTAAGAGAGCAAAAACAATTCCAAACTTAAAGCTGATTATTTGTTCTGACATTGTCCTTAACTGACCATGTTGATCTTGATGGATGGAGTTTTCACTGCACTCTGTATTTTTTTGGTTTTGTATATTTCAGTACAGCTTCTCATGTCACTGTAACATAGGGAATTTTATTTTTTTTGTGGTTTAATTGTATGAAAAAATTTGGTGCTGTATTCTTGGAGCTGTACAGATGGTTCCATGCCAAACATATTTGTTTACCGTGGTAATGTCTGAGTTGTAGTGTGCCAGCTAATAAAGGGATTATTTAAAGAAAAAGGTGAATGACTAAAACAGATGTGCCAGTTGGGTGAACCACTAAAAGAATCTTACTTCTCAGCTTTATGTAAAGGTTATTTTTAATGCATTTCTGAGAAATCAAGAGTGCTTGCAAGGATGTTTTTGGGGCAGCTGAAAGCCACTTGTCTGTTTTCTTGGGGGTCTTTTCCTGTGGGCTTGAAAGATGTTGGTCTTTCATCTGTCTTATGAAAAATTAGCAAAAACAGCAGGTAGAAGTCCTCAGTTTCAACATCTGATCCAGTATTACAATCTCATGATGAATTTTGATCTATTTTAAATGTCATGAGCTTGTCATTTAGTTGTGGGGAAACATGTTTTAATATTTATAGAATGTAAAAGTAAATTGCTGTAATGCAATATATGTATGTATCTATGTTCCATATACATCCTGGAGGTTAACCTGCTGTAATAATAAATCCAGGTCAACATGCTGTAGTAAAATTAAAACCTTTCACATCTTTTCTTACACAGATATTAGGTACCCTGATTTTACTAGAAAATGAAGCACTCTGCTATGAAACATCTTAACCAGGATTGATGTAAAAGTGTTTGAGAGAAGCTAAAATAATGGATTAAATGCTGTTTACCCAGGCATTTCGTCTGTTGTATGTCACATTGTCCAGGTGACTTCCAGAAACTCCATTGATTCTGCTCTTGATAGATTTGACTGGAATGTCTGCTCTTAGAAACTGACTTTTGTGAATTAGATATTTGTAATCTTATTTCTTAGGTGTTGATCAATTCATTTCTGGAGACATGATTCTGAAGAAAAGACAATCAAGAAAGCAAATAATTTTAATACCATTTTTTAAACACAGCTTTAAATTGCTGGGTATACAAGATTTTTCCACTGAATTTCCTTTAATTTTGGAGTTAGCTTTTTAATAGACAGGTAAGGGCTACCTTGAAAATGAATAGCTCAATTTTTAAAATTCTGGTGCTTGAGTATACAGTTTGTTTTTAATTAAAGAAATTAGGGATTACTTACAAGGCACTTGACCACATACTGTATGGTACTTTCAATAACAGTACATTTTAGGTACCTTGAAGCTCTGCTGAAAAAGATGAATCACAGAATCACAGAAATTCTAGGCTGGAAGAGACCTGTAAGATCATCGAGTCCAACCCATGTTCTAACACCTCAACTAGATCATGGCACCAAGTGCCACATCCAGTCTTTTTTTAAACTCTTCGAGGGATGGTGACTCCACCACCTCCCTGGGTAGATGATTCCAGTATTTGACCACTCTTTCTGTAAAATACTTCCTCCTTAATTCTAGCTTGCATCTCCCTTGGCGCAGCTTGAGACTGTGTCCTCTTGTTCTGTCTGTTGTTGCCTGGAGAAAAAGACAGACCCCCAGCTCACCACAGCCACCCTTCAGGAAGTTGAAGAGAGTGATAAGGTCACCCCTGAGTCTCCTTTTCTCCAGGCTGAACAACCCCGGCTCCCTCAGTCGTTCTTCATATGGCTTGTGTTCCAAGCCCCTCACCAGCCTCGTTGCTCTCCTTTGGACACGCTCAAGCATCTCAACGTCCCTCCTAAAGTGAGGGGCCCAGAACTGCACGCAGTACTCCAGGTGAGGCCTCACCAGTGCTGAGTACAGGGGAAGAATGACCTCCCTGCTCCTGCTGGCCACACCATTCCTGATACTGGCCAGGATGCCATTGGCCTTCTTGTCCACCTGGGCACACTGCTGGCTCACGTTCAGCCGACTGTCAACCAGCACCCCTAGGTCCCTTTCCAGCTGAGCACTGTCCAACCACACCGCCCCTAGCTTATATCGTTGCAGGGGGTTATTGTGGCCAAAGTGCAGGACTCGGCTCTTGGACTTATTGAAATTCATCCCATTAGATTCTGCCCATGCATCCAACCGTTCCAAGTCCCTCTGCAAAGCCCTCTGTCCCTCTAACAGATCAACACACGTTCCCAGTTTAGTGTCGTCTGCAAATTTGCTGATAAAAGACTCTAAACCCTCATCCATGTCATCAATAAAAATATTAAACAGAACTGGCCCCTGTATGAACCTGTAGTGTTTCTGTTTGTACCTATCTGTTGCTGTTTGTTGCCTCTTTCAGTATATTTTTCTTACCAATTTTTAAGTCATGGCTTTTTTTTTTTTTTTTTTGTGTTCATGACAACAGGCAGAAGAAAACCTATGCACTCTCATTTTTACTATTATGGCTGAATAGTCCAAATAGTCAAATATCTTGAACACTCATCCTAGTGGCAGCACTGGTTTAGAAATAGCTGTTTGCATATGTGAGGCCTCCCTGGTGTTAATAAAGGCAGAATTTGTTCCTTCATTAAGAATAACTGAATTTGTGACTTTCTCATTTTGGGTTAGTTGTAGCTTTGTTTAATCCTAGCATTGAAAAAATTCCAGACAGCACAGAAGTCAACTTTAGCATTTTCAGTGTGTTCCTATCCAGAAATGTATCAAAAACTGTCTGTTTTGTGGATAGTGATTGTAATCTGATCCAAGCTTAAGTAAAAGTGAAGAATTTGCCCTGGTTGAACATAGCAAATAAGGGTTTCAAGGGGCTTTGTTTGAGATGATTGATCTCATAGCAGTATGTTTTGTAATATATTGTAGAGCCATTGCAAGGCAATTAGATCACCTTTCTTGGGATTTCAGGGCTCTATTAATCATCTTTATTTAAAACCAAAGAAAAGGCTTCTTTGAATTGAAGGTTTCTTGATTATCTAGGATTTGAGCAGCCTGTTGAAGCACTTAAAATAACATTCTGACTACAAAGTATTATGGTGAGGAGTACCATAACTCTTGCTTGTGCATCAGTCCAGTAAGCACATGGCATTTCTTTCAGTTATGTTTGTGAGATACCTGCCCCATTACGATGAGGATGGCTGTATTTATTTGACAGAAAGAAAAATTGGCAGGTTTTATTTTGACACCTAGAGGTTTATAATACCCATCCCCTGTCAGTTTTGTCAAGAATTAGGCATTGAATTACATAAAGTTAGCTCTTGCAAAGCTGTCTTGTTTAGAAGTTACTTCAGTTTATCATATTCCGGCATGGATTTCAATCCTGACTTTGTTTAGGATTAAGAACTTCTTGACAGGTTTAAGATTTAAAATGTTTAGCTGACCTAACCAACCTTAATATTGAACTGGCTGAAAATTGCATTTTACATAGCTTCCAAATGTTGGCTTCATTCTTGAAGGACCATGAATTCAATGCAAGGAAATGCAGTGTGGCTGGATGTAAATGGAGTTACACCTCAAAAGGGTTTATTCTCTCCTTTGCTGGAGATACACTGAATTTTTTTTTTGTTTAATACATATGATCAAGGCATTTGATCCTGTGCTTGGTTAATCTTTGTTTTCTTTTTTTCCACCACTCTAGGCCATATACACCCATGAAAGGAGCCTTTTCCAATGTGTGGTTTGACAGGTATAAGATCTGTAATGACTGTCCTGAACACATTGAAAGCATCGATTCCATGTGCCGGGGCCTTACAGACCTGATCAATGATGAGGTTAACAATGGCATTGCCAAGAGCAGGATACTCATAGGTAAGAGATATATTTATAATGTGTTTATCCTAATAGTTTTTTAATGGTTAAGAGGTTAACTTCTTTGAATTTGCTCTCTCCTGAAGGGTCATGATCATGGCTTGAAACTGCTGAACAGCCTTTTCAGTAGCCTATCCTCAGCAATATTGAATCCTTATTTAAACCCATATCAGGTGGAGAGTGGGGCTAACTGTAAGCAGTATCCTCAAAATGTAAAACTGTTTTTATTTTCAACAGTCATTTGTAATCATTATTTAAAATAGAGTGGGCAGTGATTTACTTTGAGAACTACATAGTTTGACTATTTCCTTTAAGCCCTTTTCAAGGATGTAAAGTACACTTTCCAAAAATGACGTGCATTTTGGAGAATGGAGATGTAGCATATAAATAATCATGAACTTTTCCTTACTGCTCTAATAATTTTGGGTTAAATTAATTCATGCAGGAAAAATGTGTATGTTACATAGCACTAAAGGCTGACACTTGATAACAAATGAAGTATTAGCTGTGATAGTTCATATGTGTCTATCTTTATTTCTCTTTCCACAAATTTCCAGTAACTTTCACAGTACTTCAGTGAAATAGATGATGAGATATTGAGGCACAGGAGTTGAGGGTGATGAAATAGCCTATGGCAGAGAGGGAATGAGAATTCACAAGTCCGTGGATCCTTGTCGCATCTCTAGACCACAAACTGTTTTGGGTCGGGGAAAAAACTCTTAAAGTGATGTCTTATAAATGTATGTCCAGCTAAGTCATGCCGTCAAAATCTTGTGTGGCCAAGCCACTACCATTCAGCCTGGTGTGTTTTCCTGGTCTAGCCCCATGTTGCTCTGTGAAGTCCTGTGCTTCCTTTCCCTTGCTGGCTCATTGTGCTGGCTGCATTGTTTTGGATGGCTGTCAGCAGAGTCCCTTTGATCTGTCTTTCCTATGTTGTTATACCTTCTGGCTTGGAAGCAGCTGGAGAAGTGCAGGTGCTTTGCTGTTGAGTGAGCTGAGAGATGCTCTGTGTACAGATCCAGTGTGCTACTAGGCTGTTTTCCTTTCCTCTGTAGCCTTCAAAATTAGAAATAGCCAGACTGCAAAGTATGAAGGTTGTTTTCCAAGTCATAAGCAGAGTAAGGAAGTTGGCATGCACTGAGTGTTTCATCCCGTAGATTCTTTGGAAGTCCCCGTCTCTGTGTGTTTGCATTCCTCACATATAAATCAGAAATAACTGTACTTGTTTTGTCACTCTGGAGAGCTCTGCTTCCCCACCTGACAGAGACTACAAGCCTACATCCTCGTGGTGCAGTCCAATATTTATGCAAGAAGCAAAATAAGGAAGCCCTGAGTTACTTCGTCCAAAGTACAGAAGGGGACTCATGCAGATGCATAAGGAACTTGGTAGTGGAAAGTTATATCACTTGTGGCTGTACAAGATTAAGTGTTCTTCCACAAGAACTTTGTGCCTTTTCTGTGCTATTTTTGATGATTAACCAGTGTGTGATGCAGTGAAGAGTGAAACTTAAGAGATCCTCTAAGGTCTCTGTGCATAAAGGTGACATTAAATGTCCTGGGACTTTGTGCAAATAATTTCCCATCTTCTGGCATTCTTTCTTACAGGAAACTAGTACTTTTGTAAAGGTACTCAGCAGATTTATAGTATTCAGCCTGAAGAACAGAAGGCTCTGGGGAGATTTTGCAGCACTTGCCAATATCTAAAGGGTCCCACATAAAAGCTGAGGAGGGACTTTTTACATGGCCATGTAATGATAGGACAGAGTGAAATGGCTTTAGACTGAAAGAGAGTAGGTTTAGATTAGATATTAAAAAGAAATTTGTTACTTTGATGGTGGTAACACACTGGAATATATTGCCCAGACAAGTTGGGGGTGTCCATCCCTGGAAGTGTTGAAGGCCAGGTTGGATGGGGCCCTGAGGAACCTGGTCTAATGGAAGGACTTCCTGCCCGTGGCAGGGGGTTTGAACCAAATGATCTTTAGAATTTCTTCCAACCCAAACCATTCTGTGATTTTTTTTATCAAAAGAAAATATGAGGCCAAGTCAGTATGTCTGCACCATAATGTAATGTCCACTCAAAAAGGAGAAATGTGCAGCCTGAAATTTTTCTGAGTTTAGAAGATGGGTGTACAGGAGATAAGGGAAGGTTTGGTTACTTGCTTAGAATGTCAGATAACTAAATTCTCTCAGATCTTTTTACATTTCTCTTGGAAAATGTCAGGAATATCCATCTAGTACAATAAGATGAGGCCTAAGGTAACAGATAGATTTGTCACTGCTGGTACCATGGAGTTGGAGGAGGCAGCCTTTGTGAGGTAAAGGGAAAAAATAAGGCATTTATAGCAGGGGAAGCCGGGTGAAATTTTGCTATGAATTCATAGTGCAGTGTTGTTGAGTCATATTGGAGATCCATAATGGTACATATCTTTTTATGGAAAACAGAGACAAAATAGTTGAGAGAAGCAACTGGAGAACTTGAGAGTCTGTGAAGAACAGTGAGGGCCTTTTTGGGTAGAGTCACAGAAGCCAAAGAGCAGAACAGTCATATGAGGGTATTTACAGGGAATTAAATGCTCCTTAAAGGGTTAAGGAGAATTGGGTTGAGTGACCATTTTGCAGTAAGTGGGAGTTTTAATGACTGGAAAGAAAACAAAATGAGTATGAGGAGCATAACAAGATTGAAGGTTATGGTTTTATATGGAATAGAGGACTAGAAATTACAGGCTGAGGGTGAGTGTCAGATATTGTTGGATGAGGGTGAGCGAGGTGTTGGGCAAGCAGGAAGGTGGGCAGTGGCTGACAGCTCAGAGGTGTGGGATAAGAAGGCAAGATCTGAGAGAGCACTGTGCAGAGGTGAGTGAGTGGGAAGAGACGGGGAGCAGCAGTGGGCTCTCAAACATGGACAGTGAGAAGCCCAGCTCCTGGTGTTCTGAGGGATGATTCCCCTTCTTGAGCCATTCAGACTTTCCACAGAGCTAAGATAGTGGGACAGTAAGAGCATTTTCTCTGAAAGAAATTGTACCCTGCATTGTTTGCTTTGATACCTCTGAAATTCACACGTGACTGCTTGCAGATCAGAACTCTAAAGCTGAGGATGGAGTCCAGGTTGTACAGTGCCACTCCTCTCTTCCTAATCAAGGAAAATGCTGGTGCAGCCTTGCTTTTAACAACTGCTCTATGAATCTACTTCTAAAGAAATAAATTACTTAGTTTGCTGGATGTAAAGGAAGTCTTATTTTTAAAACATCCGTATTAATTTTGTGACATGGCTTATCTACCCATTCTTATCTCATAACAGTTTCATTAGTTGCTTTCCTTTTAACACAAGTCTTTTGAAGAAAGTAGACTTCTGATTAAGTTTTATTTCCTCTGACCTTGGAGGAGGAAGGAAGTGAGACTAGCAGCAATACATAATTATTAAAAAAATTAATTATATCATCCCCAGAATTTGATAATGGCACTTAGTTTTTAGCCAGACATTCTTATTGAGTTACTCTTACTGGTCTTCCTGGCTAAAGGACTTTTTGTAAATAGTCCTGTAAGTAGGTTTTTATTTACTTTGGAGATAAAAGAGTGTTATAAATTTAGTCAAATTTTGACACTTGGAGCTTTGATAATATCCTTTCTTTAAAAACAGGATGTATTTCTTCTTTATAAATGCCTGAATTAATTCCTAAATTGGTCAAGCAAGCCACAGTTTAAAATGTGGGACAGTAATTTCTTTTTCTATCTAAAGCTAAGTTGGTTTTTCAGGTGGTGGTGCTTTTGTTTTTTGTTTTCTTCTGGTTGTTCCTTTGTTTTGGGTTTTTTTAACTGCTTCCTTAGTGACAGTGCCCTGTAAAATAAGTCCACTTCAGTGAAAACTGTTTAAGATTTCAACAATATTATTCAAGAATATGTTACAAGCTCTTGAAAGAAACGGCTCTCTCATTTTTTGAGCATTTTGATAGGGCTTACTGTAGTCAACTACACTTTGGTGAAAGGCAGTCTTTTTGTTCTTTTTTTGTTCTTAATTTAGCACTGCTTTCCTGCTTTCACAGGTCACTTTTTGTGTAGTGCAGAAGTGCTGATCCAAGCATGTTGGTCTCTGCCACCTGTAGTCACTCGTGTAAGCAGCCAGTGAAAATAAACTTTCCATAACAGTCCTGTAGATTTGACTAAATGCCAAAAAACACATGCATGATTCCTGACCCCTTGTGCTGTAACAATAACACAAGACACACAACCACTTTTTGTTTATTGCTAGACTTCTTACATAGCTACTGAACCACGGTGGAAGTAACATGAAAGCTCTGTGCTTCTTGTAAATATTAGCATTTCCTTCTCTCTCAGTGTGTGTGAAAATGGGATGGGGGGGAAATATCTTGGCTTTGAAGCCCCAGAGAACAGATTCTATAAATACGTGGAGATAAAAACTTGCAACAATAAATTGTTGAAGTGTTGAGCCATCTAGTTCATCCACAGTCTTGGCACTTAATGCTTTTGGCTTCTGAGCCTTTTGCTGTCACTCATCCTATCGTGTATCTTCTGTCTTTATTAGGAGGACATTGTCTTCCATTCAGAGGTACTTACTGCCTTGTCCTTACAGAGGAAATTTATGGGTTTATTTTGCTGTTTCTCTCTGCAGTTCAAATGAGATTTCTCTTTCTCTACCTCCCATTACATGGCTTTGTGGTTTCTCTCTGGGCTGAAAGAAGTACTGTTAGTTCATCTGCCCCATAATACCTGCAACATTTTATTAATTTTCAGTGCATCAGTGTAAATTTGCCTTGCATTTATACTTTGGGGTAAATGTTTGGTCCTCTTGGTTTTGGGGTTTTTTTTTGTGTCTGAACTGACCATGTGTCTCTTTTGGATCTCTGCTAGTCTAGCTCACACATCAGGAAGCAAAAAGAGACTTTAACAAATTAATCTTTGTTTCCTTTGTAAGTCTTTTGCTAGGAGGTACAATGCTAATTTTAACCAAGACTAGACCATTACTTGTTACTTTGTTTCCC